TACAGCACTTGCCCCTACAGTCTGTTACAGGCTACACGGGGGTTCTTCGTCTTTGGGTGGTCGCTGTACGCTTGCGAGCAGCGCGCGTGCCCACCTGAGGCTGCAGGAGGGCCCGGTTGGGCACGTTGGTGCTCACGCTGTGCGTCGCCTGTGAGACGGTCAGCCCGTAGCTGTAGCTGTTGCTGCCGCTGCGCACTTTCCTGCGGAAGTCGAGGTTGAGGTTCCAGCGCACCCAAGTCTTCTTGATCTCCGCCTGCACCTGCGGGGGAGGGGAGTGGGCACGCACGCACGGCGCGTCAGGTTCCCTTCAATCGCCGGGAGCGTTGACGAAACTCCAAAACGAAGTGACGCGCGTTTTCGAAAATCTCGCGTGCGGCGCACAACAACAATAATGCTAATGACGCTTGCATGAGTGTTAATTTAAAAAATATATATTTCAAATTATTCCTTGCAAAAAGGTGTCTATTTGGTATTACTTAATTTATTATTTCCTCTTTCTACGTGACTTTACCGAAGGAACCAAAGAAAAACTATTTGGTGTTTGAGCACCTTTACACCTCCTGTTTTATTTGCCAGAAAGGGCAAACGCCTCTTCTTATTTTTCACACTTTGCTACTGGCAAAACAAGTGCCATGACAACGCTTTAATTGTATACAGCGTCATGCACGCCAGCGGCATCCCACAACGCTGTACGTTAATCATATATAAGGACCGAATCCCATATGCGTGGTTGGCTACGCACGGCACGAAAGAAGCCCAAACACACACACGTGCACACGCACGTGCACACGCACGTGCACACGCACGTGCACACGCACGTGCACGCGCACGTGCACCACACGTGCACCCACACGTGCACACGCACGTGCACACGCACGTGCACCCACACGTGCACCCACACGTGCACACGCACGTGCACCCACACGTGCACCCACACGTGCACACGCACGGTGGGAAAGACGTTAAACGTACAGACACACACACACATTGGCATGCGTAGGGATCAGCACACACAAGAGATCCAGATAAAGCTAGGGTAGCGCTTCTAAACCTTTTACTGTGGCCTTGTACCCCTTTGGTTCTCAATAATGAAATGTTTTTTTTTATATATATAATGTTAATAACTACGTATGCACATCATTAGACCTCCTTTGCCAGTACCAAAATGTAATAATAGGGTTTTTCCCCTCTTTTCTGGCAACAAAACTGAAACCTTTTTTTTACGAGGATTCATGTCTGCATTAACCACAATACCTGCAGTCAAAATGCAAACAAAAAACATACTATGATAATATATGATGCATTGTCCTTGAAACTGATTGGTCCACACCAAGGGACGGCTTTCTTTTGAGCCTCGACCCAATTGGTGCTCGACCAGATGACGCCAGAAGAACTACGTATGGTTTGATGAACCAAAGTGAGCTGTAACTCACGTGCCCCGTGCTTAATTTGTGTTTTCGATGATTTACCTTCGAAAGAAAATCTGCCCATGTCTCGCACACCCCCAGAAAGGGCATCTCGCAACCCCACGGGGTGCAGCGTGCATCCACAGGTGAAGAAGAACCACTGGTCTAGAGATAAGACTCACATAGAGACCCACAGACCTACGTAGAGATACGCAGACTTATATAACTCCCGCAGGACACCTCCACAGCGACCCGACAGCCTGACATATAACTCCCCAAAGACTTAGAGTTCCCATAGACTCCTCACATCGGACCCACGACAGCGAGACAGCTCCCCACCACCCCCACCCCCCCCCCCCCGAAATAAAATTTAAAAACCCAAAGCGCGACCATTTCACTCATGAGCAGAGATTCTCTCTCCCTGCAGCCGGCTTACGGGATGAGAGTGAGCAGGTCAGCGGATTTAATGTGAAATCACGTGGTGGGGGCCACTCTGCTCATTGTCAGGCGGTGGGCGCTGTGGGGAGGACGCGCGGAGGCGCGCGTGTGGCCGTGCGGCGCCGACGTATCCTCGATGGGGTGGGTGTTGGGGTTGTGGAATAAATGAGATTATTATTATTATTACTTTCTCTGCACGGGTTCTTCCATCTCCCTTGGAATTGACAGGCAATAGCATTATTAAAATTTGTTCTTGCTTTTGATGAAAATTATTTTTTTATATACGCACACAGTGTGGTCCAAATATCAGGACACGTAGGGGTGGCTAGGAGATGTTAACTGCCTCGCCTGGTGTTCAGGAGGTCGTGGGTTCTATCTCGGCCCTGACGCCTGCTCCTCCAGTTTTTCCCTCCACATTTAGAATCAACGTCACGTGTTAAGAGTATTTGGCTGCTATACATTTCCACGTGATCATAAGCCACTTCTTTGAGCTATAATTTGTGGCCAGATTGCTTCTGAAAAAGAGCTATACAGCTCAGTAGGCTGGTAAACTAAAAAAAGGATAACAAAAAATCTGAAATATATATACAGTGGTCACTCAGTTTACGATGCCATCGATTACCCATATTTAGATAAACGATCTGCCTCCCATAGGGGTCCCATTTTTTCTATTAACGATACAATTTTCGATTAACAATACGGTTTACGATATCACGAGGCCACCAATCTCAGCCAATCAGAGTGCTCATAATAAAGGTTTTTGGGTTAGATCGCGTTTATTTATAAATGTGTCGTAACCCTCCACCACCCCACACGGCCAATCAGCAAAGAAAAGTGTCACGTTGACAAAAGACAAATAATTCACTACTTTAGCCCACCGGTGTGTTGAAGAGTGAATCTACATTTACAGTTTGAGTACGACGTTTCCCTGGTAAATACATCCAGCATCATGGCGAATTGCCCGATGATGCTGGATGTATTTACCAGCGAAACGTCACAGTACTCAAACTGTAAATGTGGATTCACTCTTCAACACACCGGTGGGCTAAAGTAGTGAATTATTTGTCTTTTGTCAACGTGACACTTTTTTTTTGCTGATTGGCCGTGTCGGGTGGTGGAGGGTTACGACACATTTATAAATAAACGCGATCTAACCCAAAAACCTTTATTATGAATAATATTGGTCGCGAAAGCCTACGTGTTAATCAGAGTGCTCCTAAGTGGACTTGGCTGCAGACTTCAGCCAATGAGCAACGCCCTTTTATGAGCGTTTTCAAAGCAATTGTTTTATGTACATTGCCTCAGGAAATAATTTAAATGTTATGCTCTATTTATTCATTATGTAACCATATTTCTATTAATATGAATGCTTTAATATGTTATTTTTACTTTATTTATTAAAATTGCGTGTTTTTTTCTGGTTAAAAGGGTCAACTTCCGAACGCCGTGGAACAAATGAAGCCTTTAACGTGCATTTCCTATATTCGATTAACGATCATTTCAATTAACGGTGGTTTTCCTGGAACCGATTAATACCGTTAACCGAGCGACCACTGTATTTTAAGAAATCACAAAGGATTATTTCATTTTTTCCTCACAAATGTTCATACTGACTTCTGTTGACACGAATGCACGATGCATGAATTATCTTTTGAAATGAATTTAGGACTTTTATTCGAGGTTACATCACGTGTAATCTTTTTTGAATATTCGTCCACTGCGTCTCACTTCATTCGCAGGCTTCTTCTTGGTCGAGTTTTGTAAACAGCGGAAGGGGTAAAAATATATTAAATCATATTTCTTTGGGTCTTTCGGTAAAGACACGTAGATATGTAGAAAAATAACAATAAAATTATCACGACGTTTCGATCGCAACACAAGCAATCGTCATCAGGTGAAAAAATACAGCGGGAGAGCTGCCGCGGCAGGAGAAAATACAGCGGGAGAGCTGCCGAGACACGAAGTTACATGGGCTTGAGATGGGTGTAGCCCAAGGGTAAGTGGGCGGGGCTAGAGGTGGAATTTGCATGTCAATGTAAGAGCGGTGACCTATCTCCATGACGACGAAGCAACTGTGGAGGTGGCCACTGTATTGTGTTTTCTCCTGCCGCGGCAGCTCTCTCGCTATATATTTTTTTCACCTGATGACGATTGCTCGTGTTGCGATCAAAACGTCGTGATAATTTTATTATTTTTTTCTATCTACCTGCCTTAACGGAAAGATCCAGAGAATATTAATTCCTGCAGTCACGAAAGCTTTAAGTCAATATTAATCATAAGTGATCAAATATTAAGTTAAAGAATAAACGGTTAAGATGTTCTAATGCCAGTGTTCAATCAAATATAATAACCCGAAATCTCCTGAATTTTTGGGCCACCCTGTAGATTAAAACAAAAAAACTAAGTTAAAGGTGCAGCCCTGAAATTTCCAGCTCACACTACTGCAAGTGGAAGGGGGACCCCCCCCCCCCTCCCACCCGCCTTTGCTAATTCAATTTTAAAAAATGAGAATTTGAAATTTAATACGAGTTTTTTTTTTTCCCGCGTGCAAATATTATTGGTGGCTAGCGATGAGATGAGACAGCCCATCAATTCGCTAGACAAGGGAGAGAGAGAGAACCCCGTTTCAATAACAAGCGGCCAAAGCCAATACAGATAATTATTCTGATTCTGTTTTAAGGCCAACATTTAAGCCGGGCTGACTTGGCGCCTTGTGCCCGGCCCCCTCCCCCCCCAACCATCATCCATCGCGCACCCCCCTCTCCCTCGCCTGCCCCCCCCTCCCCAATCCACCATCCCCCCGCCCCCCGCTGTGTCACCCAGCCACCGCTCCGTGACAGATCCACTGCCAAGCCTCCGCGCTGGCCCCGCCGCTCGTTATGTGACGCGGTCGATGAAGCGGAAGTACACGCCGCTTGGAGAACGGCGGTACCGACCTGGTCGCTCGCAGCGCAACGGGCGCTGGCCTCGACTCGTGCGTTGCTCGGGACTGACAGGCGGGGGCCCCTTTCGCTAAAGCGTGCGATTAAGGCGCAGTGCACGGCGACGACCCAACAACTACACCCACGCGGGCAAATTTGCCTGGTGGCTTTGAAACGCACGGACGGCGATTACCACACACACACACAGACACAGACAAAGATCCCCCAGTATAGCCTTTAACAGACTGCTGGAGACAAGTGCTGTGAGCGAGCGCGCACACAGCGCCTATTAAAGCCGGCACAGAAACGCGATGGAGGAGGTGGCCAGGACCACGCCTGGCCGCCTTTGTCTCCCGAGTGGAGATGCGTACACATCGGACCAGGTACTCATTTTAGGCTGAGTCGACCTAGGAGAGGCCCAGGACCGATTCAGATCATCGTCACCGGTGTTGGTGGCCGTGAGCGGGAATCGAACTCGGGTGGCCGAGTTCATA